AATTTCTTACTTTTTACAAATACATATTTATTGTTTAACTTTTCATGTTATTTATTTTTTTGCATTTTTAATATTTTTTTTCTTATTTATTTTTAATATTTTAAATTAATATTTTTAATATTGTCAAAAAAAATATTATATATATCAGATTGAAAGATTTAAGAAAAAAATAAAAAGAAAAGAAAATCAATTAATAATGATTAATAATAAAATTGATGAATAATAAAATTATTAATTATTGTTTAGAGACCATTAAATGTAATGTAATATAATGTTATACAAGTATATTAATGTTATCAATAATGATATCATGAAAATAACAAAGAAAAGAGAAAAATTATCTTAGGATTTTTCCTGATAATTCTGCATATAATATCTTCTTTGATAGCCTTAATTGGTTATTTTTAAATTATAATATTTGCAATTATATATTTATTTTTAATATTAAATTTTAACTTTTTTTTAGAGTAACGAAATCTGATTTTGCAAGGAATGAACCAATAAAATCTGAACAAAAATCAGAAAGTCCAGAAGAAAATAAAGATGATAATGAATCTGAAAAATCCTTGAAGACAGGAGGTTTGTAAATTAAAAATAATAAACAATATCCAGTTTAAAGTATAATTTAAATTTTGTTTCAATGTATATTATTATATTAGGTAGTATAAAATCAAATGATGATGGAGAATCAAGTCCAGTACATAAAGAAAATAATAGTGGTTCTACTTCAGAAGCAGATGATAAAGCAAAAAGAATAAAACCATTAATAGATTCTGATTCAGAAAGTGAACCAAGAGATAAGCAAACTTTAGCACCAACAGCAGATGCTCTTTTCGGAGATGCTAGTGATATCAGTACAGATGATGAAAAAGATAAAGAAGAAGAAAAAAGAGAGAAGAGTTATAGCAAAAGTAGAAGTAGAAGCAGAAGTAGAAGTAGAAGCAGGAGCAGAAGCAGAAGCAGAAGCAGAAGCAGAAGCAGAAGTAAAAGCAGAAGTCGAAGTAGAAGTAGAAGTAGAAGTAGAAGTCAAGGTAGATCTGATAGTGGTGGCGAAGGTCCTAATCAAGCTGTCATTGAAGATGTATGTACAAATATTATAATTATTTTTAAGAAAATTTTTTTAATATTTTTATATATCATAATTTGTTGATTTTAGGATATGGATAAAGAAAAAGAAGAAGAACCAGAACCTCCTCCAGAAACAAGAATTGATGTAGAAATTCCAAAAATCACTACAGATTTAGGTCGTGAAATACATTTTGTAAAACTCCCAAATTTTCTTTCAGTAGAAACACGACCTTTTGATACGGAAACATATGAAGATGAAATAGATGAGGAAGAAACTTTAGATGAAGAAGGTCGAGCAAGATTGAAATTAAAAGTTGAAAATACTCTTCGTTGGAAAGAAACCTTTGATGATCAGGGAAAAGTTATCAAAGAAAGTAATGCTAGATTTGTAAAATGGTCTGATGGCAGCATGTCTCTACATCTAGGTTCTGAAATTTTTGATGTATATAAACAGCCACTTCAAGGAGATCATAATCATCTTTATATTCGACAAGGAACTGGTCTTCAAGGTCAGGCAGTATTTAGAACTAAATTGACATTCCGTCCACATTCTACAGAATCTTTCACTCACAGAAAGATGACAATGTCTTTGGCTGATAGGTCACAAAAAACTTCTGGTATAAAAGTATTATCACAAGTAGGAACTAATCCAGATCAAAATAGATATGAAATGATTAAGGTAAATTGCAATTTTATTTTATTATGAAAATTTCTATATATAATATAATTTCTATATATATTTGTATATATAATTATACTATAGAATTACTTGTATTAATTACTTGTATAATACTATATAGAAAGAAGAAGAAAAATTGCGCATGGCAATGCGAGTTCAAAGTAAAACAAAAAAGAGTACTGCAAGTAGAGGAACTACTGGAAGATCTGTTGGTGGATATGGTGGTGATACTTACCATGATGATGGTTCAGATGATGAAGGAGCTATTTCTCTTGCGGCAATTAAGAATAAATATAAGAAAGGAATAAATATTCCAGTTAAAGGTAAGTTATACTTAATTTATTTAAAATAATATTTAATATTTAACATTTATTTATTAAAATAAGTAATTTTTACTTAAATAATATTTATATATTATATATTTATATATATATATATATAAAAAATATTTATATATTTTCATATTATGTTTTAAATATTTTTTTAAATAACAAATATCAAAATATCAAAGAAAATAATAAATTATAAAATAATCATTTTATTTTTGTTTTATATTCTTAGCATCGAATATATATTCATCAGATGAAGAAGGTTCAGATTTTGAAACTTTAAGACCAAAAAAAAATATTAAAGGAAAGGTTCTAAAAGATTCAGATGAAGAATCAAATTCTGGAAGTGCTTCGGGAAGTGGAAGAGATGATAATCAAGGTGATAATGCCAGTGATTAAATCATTATTTTAGTAAAGTATAAATAAATAAATTAATATTTCTTTTGACATAATAAAATTAATTATATAGATAAAATAATCATCTTTTCTTTACATATAATAAAATCATTTTTTAATTAAAATATTTATTTTATTAGTGTTATAATTTTTAAAAATATTTAAATTTGTTACATACTAAAAAAATTGATAGTCTTTAGGAGTTAGGATTAGTTAGGATTATATATGATAAAATGTGACATTTTATGTTGCTATTAACAAATGACAAATGATTGATGAATTCTATCTAATATGTAAAATATGTATAAAAATATATAGATTCCTTATAATATAAATTTAATTTATAAGATATATAAAATAATAAAATATATCTAATTTAATATATTTTATAATATATATGCGATATATTAGAAAAAAAATTCATATTTATATAAAATGTACATGACATATAAGTATACAAAAATAAACATGTATAAGATGATATATAAAAATATAATGTAAAAATTAAATAGATTTTTTTTAAGATTTTTAATTAATAGGTTAAATAATAACAAAAAGAACAAATAATAGAAGGTAATAGAGATAGAAAAATAAAAATTCGAAAATCAACGTTAGTTCTAAAATGTTACAAATGAAATAATATAGATAAGAATAATATGTACATATGTATATATATAATAGGAGAAAGATAGAAATAGGATAAAAGAATTGATTATTAATGTCATCTTTCGAGTATCAAACATTTTTCAAAAGGAAACTAGAATAATAAAATAAAAAATGAAGATTAATATTATCTTTCGAACATATCTAAAAAGATAATTCTTTAAAAAAATGTTTGGCATTCAAAAAATGACTAATGATTAATTCTTATTCTTATTTCTGTTATTTGTTATTTTCTCTTTATATGTTGCGGCATTCTATGATGACTAATTTTCGAATTTTTATCTTATTTCTATTTTTATATTTTCTATATTATCTCTA